AAATATAAAAAAGGGGGTTTTTGGTTTTTTTTTGCCTCCCACTACCTACGGTTTGGAGCTATTTTGGAAAAACAAAGCATTCTGTCTCCTTTAGATCTTCCTTTTAGTCTGGCTTTCATAGAGCTCACTGTGGCTGCTTCTATATACAGATCCTCTTGCAGTTCTCTTGCCCAGGGTGTGCCACAAGGTTCTGTTATGGGGCCTTTATTGTTTATGTACAGATATTTCATAGGTGCTTAAGATTATATATAAAGTTGGAAGGCTTAACAATGGGGAAACATAAATCCTTGTTTGTGCTCTGAACAGATTTGAGCCTCAGGTAGTATAAACTCTTGTCCCCTTTGCACGGTTATCAAATCTTTTATCAGGAACCTTGGGGTGACTTTTGACTCTGCTGTTACTTTGGATGTTAATGTTACATTTCTGGTTAACTTTAAACTTTCAGAGGTCTGCATGGAAGAGCACCAGCTTACATCAGTGAACTTTTACATCCACACATTCCCTTAGGTCATGTGATCAGGGCATGCTGGCTGTGCAGCATACAAGGCTGAGATCTAAAGGAGCTTTTGCAACAGTGGCCTCCAGACCCTGGAACTTTCTCCCACTGAGCTTAAGATCTGTGGACTCAGTGGTCTCTTAAAGGTTACTGATATAAAAACTATGTAACCATCAGTATTTGGATAGTTTAAGGATTTTTTTTGTTTGTTTGTTTGATTTTTTTGCTTTAGCAAGAGCTTGATTGAGTTTTGATATTGTCTGTCTCCTACAGATCCTAGAAATTTAGTAGTCAATACCACTACCAGTAGAACTACAAAATCATCAGTACTCAGTTTCACACCAAAACAAAATGATTATCCCTGAACACAAACTCCTATACTTAAAATTTAAGTAACAAAATTAAACAGAAGTGAAACATAATGAAATGTTAGTAGGCTGCTCATTGACCAGCCTAACACTACTGTGAGGTATAAAGTTAGTCACATTAAATTACCTCAAGCCTGATTTTTACAACGGCAATACCAGATGTCTCAAGCAAAAGCGTAACATAAATTTTTAGGGTAATAAAAGAAGGACAGAACATTGGATATTGTTTACTGCTGAAGTTTTTAAACAGATCTAGATGCCGGTCTATTAGATACATTGCTAATATTAGAAGTATTTTGTCCCTTTGTCTGGGTAAAGGTATTGCAACATTGCAACAGTTCTGTTCTGGCAACATCCCTACTATGTTCAGTAACAGACTGGCTAGGGCGTGCCTACCCCCCCCCCAAAAAAAAAAAAGAACCTGTAGAACATGTAACTGTTAGATCCAGTTAGACTCAGGTAACCTATCTTGTTTACATTATGTTTATGTTTGAGCTGATAGAAAAATATTACAACAGAAAAAAAATGACTATATGGTAGCTGTACAGAAGACAAAAAAAAAATACTTGAAAACTTTTTGTCTAGTTAACTGCTGATTCAGTCTGCTGTTAAGCACATAGACATGTAAAATCCTTATTATTAAGTGAGCATGCTTCCACAACGTGACAACATACAGAGGGAAGCAAGAAAAGCAGGATTTTCTGGATTCGATTCTGTTTTCTCTGAAAGTACACAAGGCAGTTTTGTTTGTTTTTGTAAGTGTTCCACAGTGCTAAGCAATGTGTGCATCATTAACATACATAATCCATTAGCACTTCAATTCAAAGCTATATGGTTTGAACTATGATGAAAGGGTGCTCCTAAAAGGCAATCTCATCTTGATGCATTTATCGGTTAACCACAAAACCCGAGCTAGAAAAGGAGCAGATGCTGCAACTAACAGACTCTGTGATCCTCAGTCTTCACTGTGCCACTTCTTTTGAGTCACTATATGTGTGGTATATTTAATTAGCACTGAAAATATGAAGATTTTTACAGTGCACTTTTCAGGACCACGTTGTGCCATACAACAAAATCCATACGTAGCCAAACTTGTGCAGCCCCAGGAGATGAAACTGTTTGGCTAAAACAAAGAAGGAAGATGTTTTCACTTCAATCCCCTTGGGGACCGTAATGCACTTCTGAGCTGAACAGAGGGTCTGTGACGTTACTGGGGTCACAGATGTTTCTTGGAGACACTGAAAGCCACTTAGCATGCATTTCATTTCTCTCCTCATTCATTTATCTCTTGTCCTTGCCTCACATTTGGCATCCGCTGAATAATGCCATCTAAGTGAAGACATCCATTCAGCCACTTGATCCATTAGTCAAAAGGTGTGGTTATAAAACCAATATTATTGAGATGTCAGAATTACACGGAGCCACATTTGTCAAAGCTGCGATGATGGGTATTCAAAGGAAAGTTCAGAGGTTATGGTGAATACATTTTCCAATCTATTACCAAATCTCTTACACAATCAATCTGACAAATACAAACATCAACACTATGGACATTTTGTTTTTTATGGATGAAACCATAGATGAAAAGTCTGCCCTTACATTTGGCTAAACCCAAAAAAAGCCCTACAGTAAAAGAAGTCTTGATCTTTTTCCCTGAGTCAAATATGGCCTGGCTCAACTCCCCTCCCAGCTCCCGTAAAACTTAGTCATTTCACACGCAGAGGTTTTTCATTGTGATTACCACTGGCCAAGAGACTTCTTGGCCAGGCCCTGAGCAATGCCCAGGAAAAACACTTGACATGATTGAAAAAGCAGAGACACGCCATAACATCCCCACAACTCGGAGTGCCTGAATTGAGAGGTTTTATCTGCTTCAGCATCTTGTGTAGGATGCTAGGAACTGCATGTGACATGTAATGAGAATTTGATTAGAGAGTTAAAGGTCAGATAAGATCGCGTAAGCTCCCTACCAGGGGACAAACAAACTTGACTACAACCAAATCAGTCTTTGCAGAGAGCTCCGTACCAGAACGATTAGTTGAACTCTCCTCCACTTCAATCCTTCTCCCACCTTAACCTTTTGCTCATAACTCTCGTTCAAACCCTGAGGGAAGAGACCGGGAGCGCACGACTCTTGACCCCAAGAGAGGACTCCGTTTGATGAACGACCAGGGAATGTCAGACCTCTGATTGGTATTCAGCCTCCTCCATCTGAAAGCACTGAACCAAAACACCAGTTCTTGTCCTCCAGAGTGTAAATTACCATGGTGACTTTGATAAATACACAATGTTGGGTGGGGGAGATACTGAACTTTCACTGATGGGATGAAGAGCAAGCGTAGGCTGGAGTGGGCAGAGCAGCTCCCCCGGATAATCTTTCACCGACTGGCTTTTTGACAACCTTGCAATGCCGTGCAGACAAAGCCGATGGCCACAGAACCTCTGGGCATTTTTACAGGAGGATACTTGGCGAGGTGCGATGTAACTGAAGATAGAATAGGAAACTTATTCCTACCACCACTCGCACGTTTCTGTGCTGCGTCACCTCCTTTATCTTCACTCCGTCCTACTCAAAAACAGCACACAGAGGGGTCGGGTCACCGATGGTGCTGAAAAGTGAAAGTGGGGGGATATTTTGACTTTTAAGGGCTGTCCATAGATGCTAACCAGGCAGCAACCTTTCTGACTGAGCTGTGGCTGAATAAGGGAGACAGCCTGCTCTCTGTCTGTTCATGCTTTTAATCCACAGAGAAACCTACCGCATACCTTGCATATCAGCAGCTTCGCCCCGTGATTCAACACTTGATAATGGAAGATGAATTGATATCAGGATTCACAGAGCCAAGCTCTCTTTATGGCCATATACAGTATTTCAAGGTCAGTGGGGAACTATCTGTCCAGATGTTCTTTTTCAAAGGAGCCCAGCTGTGCTGCAACTCCCAGGCATTTACATTACGAATTGGCGATTCTAACAAGCACAGATGCATTGCGAGCACACCCACTCCCTGAAATGTACCACATTTTTCTCTTTTCTACATGGCTAGTGTCACCTAATCTGATCTTCTGCATTTTGTTGAGCCCCTTATGCGTATGGAACCATCTATCTTACTGGTTTGCGCACATCTTTTTTCCTTTTTTACTTCTCAGACTGTATGAAGACAATAAAGACCAATTGCAGCTTCTCCAGAACAAGGAGAATTATGTTTTACAGCATTAAAAAACAAACATTTGAGCTCTTGGCTGTTAATTGGATATAGTGTATAAAATAGGTCAATATTTCTCAGCGTTTTACAGGCTAAACAATAGAGGAGTCAATGGAAAAAATAATGAGCAGATAAATCTTGCTGATGCAGATATCCCTAAACATAAGACTTCTGTATGTTTGCTTTACAGTGATCATAACTTTGAGTCCTCTTTTGTCCACCTTTACATTTTACAGTAGATCCCTGTCCATCTCTGTCCAGAGGTTCTCTCTAATCGCTCTTCTAAAGCTATTAAAATGCTGGCATGTTTATTCAGCTGTTTGCAAAATCACTCCCGGTTTAAATTAGCCTTATTCCCCGGAGAGTAGGGCATTGTTAGAACAAGCATGAGTGCAACACAAAGAGCATCAGAAGCAGTGCATGTGCATGCAGGCGAGGGGACCAGGGCTGCTATCGCTTCACAACGTGTTGAACTTGAGCTGTGAGGTTCCTTACTGTGGAAATAAACCCCGCGTCTCTGTGGACTTTAATCATGTCCATCATACTTAAGAATTATTTGTGGGGCTAAACACAGAACATTAAGACGTACACTTAGTCATGAGGCTATATGAACTCAAGAGCAGCTCAAGTTATATGAACGCACAGTTGAACACAGTAGATGCTTTAGGAATATTACAACATTTATTTAACGCTTGGGTTTTAGTGCACTCCCACCCCCTCACTCTGTCTTTGTGTCTTGCCTTAAGCCGACAAATAAGCGGTGATTCATCACAGGCTACAAACAAAAGCACATGCAAACATGCGGACAGGAGCAACCACCCGTCCCTCTCCGCTTCCCTTCCGTGCCGACGTAACCGGAGGAGATGACAAGTGTAGGAGCGGGCTGTGATGTTGTTGGCAGCGGCGCTGCTGCGCTCTGTAGGCGAAACATACCTGTCATCGTAGCAGAAATCTGCGTCCAGCGTGTTCAGATAGAGACCCACAGCCACGGCGGTGCACACGAGCTCCGTGATCATCTCTCAAAACCAAAGTGGGAGAGGAACCGGGATAGAAATTATTGGAATCAGGTCCCCTCGTCTCTCTGTTTGTGTCTCTCTCTCTGAAGTCTCTGTTATTATGCTCTCAATTCAGCCGCTCGGCAGCAGAGCTCTACAGGCAACGCAGGGCATTTTCCCGTGTCATGCAAAGTGTGTCAAAGTTTCCCTTATCACCCTCTAACCCATTGTGCTGTGAAACGCGTCAAGCCTGGAGAAGTGGAGGTGCAGCTGTCGCCCGGTCCGGCTCGGAACGGTGCGCATTTCTGTGCTGCGGTGCCTTCAGTGTGAGCATCTCCCTGCCTTGGCACTGGAGAGAGCAGAGCTGGGAGACGCATGTGGTTTTCAGGGAGGGTGAGCATGCGCAATGCGCTCTGCATTGGAGAGAAAAGGTGGCGAGTGAAGTAAGGATTTGTGGTCTTGCGTGTTACTGAGTGATGGGCTACACTGCAAATCAATTATAAACAGGGAGTCATGCATGAAATGGTAGTTGCAGATTGTTGCCATGACAAG